ACTGACTATAGTAATATCTACTGACTTTAACAGTATTTACTGACCGTAGTGGTATATTCTGACTGTTTTAGTATCTATTAACCCTATAGTTGTATCTACCAGCTCGATAGCAGTATCTACTATCACAACAGCAGTGCATACCAACTGTGGTGGTACCTATGATTACAGCATTGCATACTGACTGTGGTGGAACCTGCTGTCACTGCAGCAGTGCATACTGACTGTGGTGGAACCTGCTGTCACTGCAGCAGTGCATACTGACTGTGGAACCTGCTGTCACTGCAGCAGTGCATACTGACTGTGGAACCTGCTGTCACTGCAGCAGTGCATACTGACTGGTGGAACCTGCTGTCACTGCAGCATTGCATACTGACTGTGGTGGTACCTGCTATCACTACAGCAGAGCATGCCCACTGTGGTGGTTCCTGCTGTCACTGCAGCAGTGCATACTGACTGGTGGAACCTGCTGTCACTGCAGCATTGCATACTGACTGTGGTGGTACCTGCTATCACTACAGCAGAGCATGCCCACTGTGGTGGTTCCTGCTGTCACTGCAGCAGTGCATACTGACTGGTGGTACCTGCTATCACTACAGCAGAGCATACCCACTGTGGTGGTACCTGCTATCACTACAGCAGTGCATACTGACTGGTGGTACCTGCCATCACTACAGCAGAGCATACCCACTGTGGTGGTTCCTGCTGTCACTGCAGCTGTGAACACCGACTGTGATGAAACCTGCTATCACTACACACACAGCGACTCGCACACACATCGACTTACACGCACGCATGGACTTACGTGCACACATTGACTCGCGCACACACATCGACTGACACGCACACACATTGACTCGCGCATGGACTCACACATGGACTTACACACACAGACACATGGACTTACACACACAGACACATGGACTTACACACATCGACGCAGACACTCACATCGACTCGCACGCACACATGGACTTAGACACACACATTATTATTATTATTAAATTGACCAACTTGATTTTTAAATATTAGTTGTCCACATACACCACGCACACACATCGACTGACACACATATCGACTCACGCACATACACATCGACCTGCACACACACACATCAACTTATACACCCATATACAAAAACAAAGAACAAAGATCCCCCATATAGCCATAACAGACTGTAGGGGCAAGTTCTGTTAGCGAGCACCTATGAAGGCCGGAACGGTACACGAGGGGGTGGGTCTCCCTAGTGGCAATGTTTACACACCGCACCAGGTACTCATTTGAGGCTGAGTCGACCTAGGGGAGGCCCGGGACCGGTTCAGATAATCGTCACTGGTGTTGGCCGTGAGCGGGAATCGAACCCGGGTCGCCAGGTTCATAGCGCAGCGCGCTAACCACTGTCCATATACGGACATACACACACACACACAAACACGCCGTCGCACACACAAACACATCGACTTGCGCACACACACATTGACTGACACACACCTATCGACTCACGCGCACACACATGGACTTTGCACACACACGCATCGACTTGTACACACACGGACGTACACATACACACATTGTCGCAGACACGCACAGCGACTCGCATCCACACAAGGACTTGACACACATGATTATTTTAATATTTACCAACTTGATTTGGAAATATTAGTTGTCTACACACAAACATTATTATTTTAATATTTCCAAACTGATTTTTTTAAATATTAGTTTTCTATGTACGCGAGTTTGGCGACAAAAGCAAGAAAATATAACTTAAGATTGCCGTGGTGAGGCCTAGTCCCGTGCTGAGCGCCCGGCCTCGCCTAGATTGCCCAGCCGGCTGAGGTGGCACCTCACCATCCTCTCGCCCGTGCAACAATAATACTATCTAAGCGCTATAATATATTGGGGTGGGGGGGAGAAGAGGACATGACACTTTGACGAATTCACCTCGGCATTGTGTGTGGTTTTTTTGCATTTTGAACGCGAATGAGAAATCCCCCTCCACCGATGACGCGTGTGCGTTGCTCGGGGCAACCCCCGGGCAACTTTTGCCCTTGCGTAGTGACGCGATGAAATCATTAAATAATAAATGAATAAATATCGCACAATTGTTAATTTAACTACTATCGATTTTACGGATGGGAAAACGTAATAGCGCTGGCCCACCATGGGGCTTACGGCGTGGTACCTGGCTACTTTTTAAAAACGTAAACCCGACGGTTTGCGAGCCAGACACAGAAAAAAGAATGCCTTTTAAAGGTTAGAAGATAGAGTGCATGAGACAATAAATATAACGGGCAGAATGGGACCTGTACAAATGCAACAGGCATTCCCGTAATAATATAACCCATTTGTAACTTGTACACTTCTCTCTGTGAACAAACTCGTGTTCGATGCCAAGGCAGGCTCGGGGGTTCTCCATAATATGCTTGTCTCTTCAGCTGCTTCTCGAAAGTGGGAAGGCGCTTGGACTCTGCATCTGTGCAGTGCGGGTAACGTTCTAGATGACAGGTGCGGCCACAGAGTAACGCCACCCGGCCGAGACAGTCCTGCATCTGGGGATGTGAGCACGCTGGGGGGGGAAAGAGCTCCGTCGTGATGTGAGGCTGAAAGCTGTGGATGAGTGCACTAATGCAGAGTAAGGAACAAGACTGCAAACGGCAGACGGTGCAGATGAGAATTGGACAAATGGTACAATTGAGAAGCGCAACCAAGACAAGAGGTTGTTTTTTTATTATTATTAAGTCGTGACTTCAAATGTTTACTTAAATTGTACAAATGTTATGAGTAGAACTGTTTCCGCACAGTTTTAATGTGTACACTAACCTATTTTAATGCATGACACTATAATCCCATAATGCTTGAAACCATGCAGCGGTGAGACTTAAACGGATGCAAGCAGTACCTTGATGCGGTTGAAATGCTATTGGAACTACTTAAGCTACCTTGACCGCAAAACTACTTTACATATCATGCTGGGAAATTCTACCTTTATTTGCGCATCATTTGACACCACTTTTATATGATCAGGTAACTATTTATATTGCCATGTATTTAATGTGCCTGTTGCCATTTATCAATTGGATTTCTTCGATCCGAGGTCTAAGTGGAAGTGCCATAAATAGATTTGGGCGTCTTTGGAGATGAATATCAGTGGAAAAAAATACTGCCTCTCAGTGTCGCCATTGGGAAAAATACAGGGTGTTTGAAAAAGATGGACCCAGTATCAAAGCAGTATTTCACGATGGCAACATGTTACAATTACATGAAAAATGACCAACGGTTTAACGAGTTATCAAGTTTTACTAGCCGTTTTATAAATGCTCTGTGCCCTCCATCTGCTGTACGGACAACATCGAGACGATAGTTTAATTCGTCCCAAACGCTTCTCAAAGTGTCTTCCGCTGAAGTCACCGCTGCTGTGATTTTGTTTTTAAGGTTACCCAGATTAGTCGCTAATGGTGGCACAAAAACACGGTTTTTGACGTATCCCCACAAGAAAAAGTCGCAGGGTGTGATGCCTGAGGATCTTGGGGGCCAATAGTGTAGCGCCAAGTTTTGGGGTCCCGTGCAACCTATCCAACGTTGAGGCAGTGTGTCTTGCGAATGACTGAGGCTAGGGGCTGTTTGTGCGCTGGGAGAGGCATCAGGTGGTCATCATTTGAAACTCAATGCCCCGCCCTTTCAAGTGGAAAGAGTTTCATTCATGGACGGTTCGTGGTTGCAGAGATATAGCGATTTTAAATCGGGTCTATCTTTTTTAAACACCCTGTATGTAACAAGTTATGTATTTGTTCACTTGCTATAGTTTCAGTGGCTGGTTCATTCACAATCAATATCACCTTTTAGTGGGTTTTTGTGTTTGGTTTTATAATTCGTAGTGGTTATTACAAGTGTGTGCAGTTTGAATGCTTTATCTACTCGTTTAGGGAAAAAAAATATTTGTAGCTTTGTAACATACAAATATAGTTGGGCAGACTTTCTGTCAACAGCTATTGCTCAATTTAAGCTTACTCTGTTTTCTATGTTTTCTGTTAAAGTAAAAAAAAATCATTAGGCATTATTCGACCATTGAGCAAGGGTCAGTTTCTGCAATTAGAAAAAAGTGGTAAAAATGTAACCAATTTGTAAGGCTGAAGGACTCTTGACTACCAAATGTTTGTGAATTCACATTTAAAATTGTGAGTCGAATTCTTTGCCAGAGAGTGGGAGCGTATGTCGGTGGTTAGCGCACTGCGCTTTGAACCTGCTGACCCGTGTTTGATCCAGGCCATATATAACATCGATGCTTAGCGATACACTCCCCCCCCACCAAACGTCTTCACCAACCCACAATTACCATGGTGGTGTGCAATTGTCTTTCAAATACCACGACTGACGTGGGGAATAATTAATCTAGCAGTGGATTTTTTTATTGCGATATTAAACACATGTACTCACCTAAAGTACCACCTTGCTCTAATTTCTGTTTTATAAAAAGCAGTGTTCACAACATTGGTGGGCGAGGTGTTTACAACTGCGCTTGTACACAACTCCTAACATATTTATTTGAATTGTATTTGTATAAACCGGGCTGTTTGCAGTATATGCTTAGCAATCTTGATTTGATTCAGTATCTTAAAACATAGGGTCTCGTTTTCCTTTCAGACATAAATGCATTTAAAGAGATCACTTGTCTATGCAATGAGAGTGCGCTTTCTCCTTTGTCTAAACAGCCTTTTAAGATTGTGCTTACATTTTGAGATCTTCCAACAGCACTCATGCCAATCCCATTTTTTTATTCTAGCATATTTAATGTACTGTATTTAAGCCATAATATTCTCCGTAGCCCAACTAGCTGCAAATTTGAGATACTCCTTGCTCCAATTGACGGTAAAACAATTCCTGCAATAATTGTTATAAATTTTACCTATTTTGCTTTATTCTGGCGCGATAGGTGGTTTCCCCCCTCTCGATGTTACCGATTGCTGACGACACTCCTCTTTTTTCCTGCCCCCTCCCCACAGTTCTGTGGCGTTCTTGGTGTCACATTTATGGAGTTTGTGAAGGCACGTGGCGACTACTGCCAGGCGCAGCACGGACTCCTTGCTGACAAGTGAACTTGTGTGGTGGAGAAACTGTACTATTCTATCACCAAACCCCCATAGCCCCCAGGAGTGTACACGCGAATCTCCGCTCTTCCGAATTGTTTTGCGCACTTCTCCGTGTACCAGCGTGTGCAAGAGAAGACCCTCTGCATAACCCCCTCTATAAATCCAGATGGGGTAAACTGTGTTGTGGACTCTACAGTCATTCCCTCCAGTAGAGAGCATTGATTGTGTTTTTTTTTTAATATTCATTTATTATTATTGTTATCATTGTCATCGCATAACACAAATAATAATAATTATTATTTATAAATATTTATTTTAAGGTATTTTTTTCTCCTCCGTTTTTACGTCCAAGCGGAAGTTGACGAGTGGGAAATCGTGTGGACAGTTGAGTGAATTTTCAACATTTGCACAACTTTTGGAGAAAATTAAACTTAAAAGGTTGAATAATATAAAATATATTAATAATAATTAAAAGTAATAATTACAGAGCACAAGTGCAAATAGCAACCTGATAATCGTCATTGCTGCTAATTGTAACTTCAAGTTGCCTCAAAGTGAATCCGCTGGAAGAAATGGCGCGAATGAATCGTCCAGCGGCCGTGGAAGTTACCTACAAGCACATGCGCTTCCTCATCACCCATAATCCGACCAATGTCACCCTCAACAAGTTCATCGAAGTAAGTACCTTAGGCTGCCGTGCATTACATGGGCTTGCTTGAGACTTTAATCCCCGCACTCCCAGCGTAATCGTGGCACAAATAGAGAATCTTGGGAGAAATGCCACGCTCGCCGGACAATGTTGCACGTTTTCCCGATCTGAGCAACAGTGATGCGTGTGTGTGGGTTCTGTAAAATAAGTAGCATTCTGTGTAAAGTTAATGGTTATTTTAATAGGGACACTGGCCTTTAATGGAGAAATAAACTTTGCAGTTGCTATCGTGTTGCTATAAAATTTTACCAAATTCCTAAAGAGTTTTTTAGTTGATTTGGATGGCTCACTGGGTTTTTAACCCTTGATCGCATAACAAGATTAGTAAGATTAGTACCTCTGATCACAATATTAGCCTATTATTGATTGATTCATTAACATTTCTTTTTAAATCTTGACATTTAATGCGGTTGAATCAGAAATTATTTTGTTGGTTTGTATGACGAGGCTGTTGGTGGGATCTCTTTTTATTTTTGTATAGCTGCCATCGTTGAGTAATTCTTGAATTTTGTTGTTATACTCTACTTTATCCATGATGACAGTGGCCTTGTCGGCTGAGAGGATGACAATGTCATCCCTCTTTTTGAATTTATATAATTCAAAACGCTCATCTTTGCTGAGGTTGCTAGCAGGCATCTTAGCGTTTTTGAGGGTTGCAGCGATTTCAGATCTTGCTACGTCTGCAGCGATGTGACCCAGGCCCTTGAGAGCCACGTATACTTGGGCAATGATATCATTAACTGGTATGTGTTTAGGTGTGACTGCAAAGTTTAGCCCTTTAGCTAAAACGGATTTCAGACCATCGGAAAGAGAACTGTTACTGCGATTAATTACGACTTTGTTAACGTCTCGCTTTTTGGTGTGTGGGTCCGGTCTTTTGTTGGAGAGGAGGTAAAATTTGAAATCAGGTTGTCCTTACATTTGGTCGACATAGTTGCAGTTGAAGAGGCAGTCATTTTGTCTACATGTTCCCAATCCGATGTGGACATTGTTGCCGTCAATGATAAGTGTGATTTGTAGAGTGTCTTGTCTAACTGATCTAGTTCGGTGCGTATAAGTCTGATTTTCTCTGAGATAAGAGCTAAGCTAGTTCTGGAAAGAATTCGTTTCGCATTAGAATAAGTTACAGAAGCAGAGGTCAGTGTAAATGCGATTGATATTACCCCAGAGTCGCGGCATCTCTTCAGAAAAATGAGAGACTCGATCAGCTGAGCCTTCTTATCCCGGAGTTTGTTGAAGGATCGCAAAGCTATGTGGAAACCCTCCCCGTAGAGGCGGTTAAATTTAGATTTAAAGCTTTCGTGACTGCAGGAATCCATACTCTTTGGTTCTTTCGGTAAAGTCACGTAGTTAGAAATAAAATAAAACAAATCAAACAAATTGTAATTTATTTTATTTTTATGTGGCTTTACCGAAGGAATCAAAGAGTATTGATTCCTTTGAAAGTCTCAGAGGGTTGACTTTGGGCTGAAGTCCTTAATATGATGTGCTTTAAAATGACCAGCCACATTTAACTAATGTTTTTCTTATTTTATGTCACAGGAACTTAAGAAATATAATGTGACCACTGTGGTGAGAGTTTGTGAAGTGACCTATGACAAGAGCCCTGTGGAACAGCAAGGCATCAGTGTCTTTGTGAGTGTTTATATACACGGATAGCTTAATCATAATTCACATAACTTGTATTTTCAGTATATTTTCACTTGCTGATCTTTTACCTGTAAAATAATATAACTCTTTTTTTGAGGTTCAGCAAAAAATTTCTTTCCATTTACTTGCTCCAAGTTTCCAATGTAATGTTATCAGAGCACACTTTTTTTTTGATGCCTCGTTTGGGAGTGGCATACTTTTATAAGCTTTGAAGAAGGGCCATTGCTTCAAACGACACCTTTATATTTTAAAAGCTTTTTGTTAACAGCACAGTAATGTAGCGCATTACTTGATATTATAAATGAGCACCCAGGAACCATATTGGGAATTAATTTTGATGCACATACAGGTTACATTTCCCCATTACAGAAGAGAGAAAAACCTTTAAACGGTAGTGAGGTACCAGTGTATGTAGGCATATTTAACTTATTTCGCACCATACATTCCCAACCGTGCTAATCAGAGGTGCGGGGGAAGGACAACAAACTAAACACAAAAAGCGGTTCTAAAGCAGTGAATTTTCAATCTAGATAAAAAATATATATACATCAATGGAGGCATCCTATCATGTGACTTATGCTGTTATGGTCGCTTTTCACATGTGTTTAGGCAGAGGGGACTATGCTCTGAAGCTTAAATATGTTTGTTAAAATATAAACTTGTTTTAATTTAATTGTATTTTCCACATAATGCAGTCTTGGGAGTTTAATGGCACCAAATGGTATAAAAATATACGACATTGTATTCACGATAATAATTTTGTTTCCTTTTTAGGACTGGTCTTTTGATGATGGGGCACCACCATCTAACAAGATTGTTGATGATTGGCTGAACCTGTGCAAGACCAAGTTCCGTGACGAGCCTGACTGTTGCATTGGTGTTCACTGCGTTGCTGGCCTTGGGAGGTAAGGGCCTTTCGCATTGGTCATGGCTAGTTTGTAAATAAATAGTCAATATAGTAACCAGGCTACATAGTGGCTTGTGCTGATATCAACATTGGCTTCCTGTTGTGCAGTTTGGCAACAGTGTCACAAAGCGCACTGAATGCATGAAGGTTACATTTGCCGATTGCCTGGTACTAAATTGTTTCCTGAATGTTTTCTCTGGATCTAAGTGCCACAGGTACTATTTGCTCTTTGGGATGGTAAGTGTACACATTGTTGTTTGAATGCACAGCATGGGCTGTTGTGTGTGCAATTTTTTTTGCTTACAGTATGGGCATTCAGATGATAGTAAATATGTTCTTTATAGGGACCCAGTTTTAATTATTAGCCATTCACATCATTGCCAGTTGGGTTTTTTTTTTTAAATGGGCAAGGTGTAGAAAATAATGATGAAGTGAGTACTGACTGTGTGTACACCAGCTGTGTCCCCATCAATGTTTTGTGGGCCATGCAGGCACAATAGCTAATGGCTGACCATGTTTTGCTTCCTAATTGCATCGAGATGGTGAGGGTGGTATTTCTGCATTCGAATCACGGCGTATCAATAGCATCCGTCGTGCTTTGAACACTTATAATCAAGGCACACGATTGCATGTGTATCACCCCTCAATGACGGCTGCTCACTATTGGAGCGAGCACTCTTCAACCCAACAAAAAACCGTGTTGGCCCAAACCCTTGATGAAGATGACAGACATACACAAACACATTAACCTGCTTATAATTACATGTGACAACTTTAAAGCCAACTTCTAAGACATGCAGTGATTCCTGTGGATGGTAGGTTGTGTGCTTTGTCTGATAAAGCAGCCTGCCTGAAAACACAAGCATCTTGCTTTGAGAGGTGTTGTATATGAGAGCTGAGCAGAGAGCTGGGAAATTAGAAACCACATAACAGCTGCAATTCTAGAGTGGCTAAACTTGACCGTGTTCGCTGCAAGTGGAGAAAGACTCGTAGTTTTAACCCCACCCTCTTCAGTTATACGTGGATATGTTTGGAGACTTAACATTTAAATTCTTCCATAATCCTAGCTTTGAATGGCAGTTCTTCATTTTCAGAATCCTCGTGTGGAGTGGTTGCCAAACGGTTATTAGTGTGCTATAATTGCTGTGATCCCTGATTAGTTCCCGGTCATGGCTAGCATCAGCGTCGAGTAATATCTAAACCAATCCTGGTGAAGTATAGTCAAACAACCTCTCCAAAGAACAGTAAATTATTAAGATCCATTGTGAAGTACCACGTTTTTTCAAATATTTTTTGTTTCAGAAATTACTATACTTTAAAAATAGGTGTAAATATATTTTTTACATTCAATAATTGCCAGTCAATGAATGCGTACACGTGTTTGTAGTGTTTTGCAAAGAGGAGGGAAAATCTTAACTAGTTAATCAGGATTTTAATCTGTCTTGTGCAACTGCTTTATCTAAAAATGAATAATGCTTCCCTCGAAGAACATGTATTCTTCCTCACATTCTTATTGACCTTAGAATAATAAATACTTCCCGCACTGATCACAGATGAGTAATGGAAATAACGATCGACTACCTTGGAAATGGAAAATCATTTTTTAAGTTGCAATTTAACGGGTCATGTGTCAGAGCGTTGGGCTTGAATGACGCACTCTTTGAGTATTCACTGTCAATTGTCTTTAAACTATGTCCCCTGCTAGTCTCATAAGGCATACATATAATCAAACTGTGCATTGTTCACTGTAATGGGTGATGAAGTGTATTATGTACTCACTTGTTTTGCAAGTTCCTTGGAGACCACAACGCTTAGCATGCGTAGGTCATTGTGGTTTCCCGTTATGGTCACGTTGACCAGAACAAGCTTTTTCCCCGAAAGTACCACAGAGGCTCCTCCTGAACTTGTATGCAGCACTTGTAATAGCCACGTAACAAATTTATATCGTTTAATGGTTACCTTGTGTATACAATTGCCTACTGCTGGACTTTGATAAATGTGTTACAAGTTGCATTTATATATTGTCTAAAATGTGACTGCATCTCGAGAAATTGGGCATATTTGTTTCAGTGACAGTCTTGTCATTGGCAGAAGAAAAAAAGTAAGTCCTTCAGGCCTGGACTTGAATCGAGGTAGAGAGCCATAGGCATGGGAAACTGTGGAGGGAAGGGAGTTCCAGATTATATGGGCAGCAGAGGGGAAATAATTAACTCCGATTGAGCTAAGATTGACTAGTTTTACATAAATCTTATTTTCTGGAGCGTGTAGAGCGCATGGAGTGAAATAAACGAGAGAGATAGGCAGAGGGCAAGTCCATGGAGGATTTGATAATTGAGTGTGATCTTGAAATTGATTTGAGGTTGGATTGAGAGCCATTGGAGGATTGGGGTTATGTTTTTCTTATTAACGGGTAAAGGTAAGCAGTCTGGCTGCTGTATTTGCATCATCTGAAGTTTGGAGGCGAGGGATTGTGGCAGGCTGTAGGAGAGATTTGCAAGAGTCTAGTTGGGATTGTTTGAGTATCATCGGAAGCTGGGGTAAGGAAAATGACATATGAGGTCTTGCAAAGTTTAAATGTGGGAAAAGAATGAGTGCTCTGGATCAATAACTCTAATGTTTTGTACTCTCTTTGCCAGTGTCTATACAAACAGGTACTAGACCATGGATAAGTTGGTAAAATATTTTTGTTAAAATATACAGTGAGGGAAAAAAGTATTTGATCACCTGCTGATTTTGTATGTTTGCCCACTGACAAAGAAAGGATCAGTTTATAATTTTAGTGGTAGGTTTATTTGAACAGTGAGAGACAGAATAACAACAACAAAATCCATAAAACGCATGTCAAAAATGTTATAAATTGATTTGCATTTTAAGTAGGGAAATAAGTATTTGACCCCTCTGCAAAACATGACTTAGTACTTGGTGGCAAAACCCTAGTTGGCAATCACAGAGGTAAGACGTTTCTTGTAGTTGGCCACCAGGTTTGCACACATCTCAGGAGGGATTTTGTCCCACTCCTCTTTGCAGATCTTCTCCAAGTCATTAAGGTTTTGAGGCTGACGTTTGGCAACTCGAACCTTAAGCTCCCTCCACAGATTTTCTATGGGATTATGGTCTGGAGACTGGCTAGGCCACTCCAGGACCTTAATGTGCTTCTTCCTTGAGCCATTCCTTTGTTGCCTTGGCCGTGTGTTTTGGGTCATTGTCATGCTGGAATACCCATCCACGACCCATTTTCAATGCCCTGGCTGAGGGAAGGAGGTTCTCACCCAAGATTTGACGGTACATGGCCCCGTCCAACGTCCCTTTGATGCGGTGAAGTTGTCCTGTCCCCTTAGCAGAAAAACACCCCCAAAGCATAATGTTTCCACCTCCATGTTCGACGGTGGGGATGGTGTTCTTGGGGTCATAGGCAGCATTCCTCCTCCAAACACGTTGAGTTGATGCCAAAAAGCTCCATTTTGGTCTCATCTGACCACAACACTTTCACCCAGTTGTCCTCTGAATCATTCCGATGTTCATTGGCAAGCTTCAGACGGGCATGTATATGTGCTTTCTTGAGCAGGGGGACCTTGCGGGCGCTGCAGGATTTCAGTCCTTCACGGCGTAGTGTGTTACCATTTGTTTTCTTGGTGACTATGGTCCCAGCTGCCTTGAGATCATTGACAAGATCCTCCTGTGTAGTTCTGGGCTGATTCCTCACTGTTCTCATAATCATGAGAACGGTGAGATCTTGCATGGAGCCCCAGGCCGAGGGAGATTGACAGTTCTTTTGTTTCTTCCATTTGTGAATAATCGCACCAACTGTTTGTCACCTTCTCACCAAGCTGCTTGTCAATGGTCTTGTAGCCCATTCCAGCCTTGTGTAGGTCTACAATCTTGTCCCTACCATCCTTGGAGAGCTCTTTGGTCTTGGCCATGGTAGAGAGTTTGGAATCTGATTGATTGATTGCTTCTGTGGACATGTGTCTTTTATACAGGTAACAAGCTGAGATTAGGAGCATTCCATTTAAGTGTGCTCCTAATCTCAGCTCGTTACCTGAATAAAAGACACCTGGGAGCCAGAAATCTTTCTGATTGAGAGGGTCAAATACTTATTTCCCTCATTAAAATGCCAATCAATTTATAACATTTTTGACATGCGTTTTTCTGGATTTTCTTGTTATTCTGTCTCTCTCTGTTCAAATAAACCTACCATTAAAATTATAGACTGATCATTTCTTTGTCAGTGGGTAAACGTACAAAATCAGCAGGGGATCAAATGCTTTTTTCCCTCACTATTATACTTTATTAGAGTTATGAGTTTTCCTCTGGAATTTTTTTACAATTTTGAGTTTCTGCAGCTGGCATTGTAAATGAATACTGTTGCATGCTTTATATGAGTTTGAAACGTTTAGGGACACCATAAATACTGCCACATGGCAAAGTACATCCTGCTTTTTCTTGATTATTATCATAATGCAACATCTTTCACACCTTATTCACATAGATAACATTCACTCTCATGAGCTTGTATGAGATCACATAATTTTTTCAGCAAACACGACAATTCCAACAGGCCCTGGAACATATTGGCTGGACTGTTCCTTCTACCAGCACTGATCTTAAGATTTTAATCTCCTCAGCCCATGGAAGAACGTCTTACATGAGAAACGTTTTCAACCGAGTGCTTTACAAGATGCTGTTAATACATGTATGTAGTACCAATTAATCGTTTTACTGGGATTTAATTGTAGCCCTGCTTCATAGTCGGTACTTGCTTAAACTTGTATGGGATTTAGATTAAGAAATAGGAAAATGTTTGACTTTCCCAATGTACCTAAAATATGGTGTCTGTTTAATAAAAGAGAGAAAAATGAGGCATTATTTTTGAGATCCTTCATAATATATATCAAAAAATTATTACACACATTGCCATCCACCAAATGATGTCATTTACGCTTCTGATAGACAAACATGCCAGCGTGACAATTAAATTACAAGCAGATCACCCCACACCCTATGTGACTGCACAAAGGACCCTGATAAAAGCCTAGCAACGCAGTGTAATGGCACTCGTTGGAATGCACAGGGATCCCATTTAATTTGACCCTGAACATTGGCAAAGGGAGTTTCTGACTGCCAACTTGTAATGCGATTAGTCATGAACTGAGTCTACGTTTAGCTTGGTAGTTAGTATAATGACAAGAATAGTACATGTAGTTTTAAAATATCCACTGCTCTTCACATGTCTAAAGGGCAACATACTGCACATACGTGTTTTGATTATGTAGCGTATATGATTCTAACTGAATTTGGCAACATTTTTACATTTGAACATTCCTTTCCAAGCATCTTAATTAATTGTTGAATGCTGTTCGTTTTTTAGAATAGTGTCATGCTAGTCTGCATATGTTCTACAACACAATGGTTTTATTTTTGGCATTTAAAAGAAATGCATTCGCTTAAAATGCATTTTCACCTGTCATTTCAACTTCATAATGTCAAGTCAGCATGTTGCCCTGCATAAATTAATTTGGAGTGGCACTCACTTTTGTAGGTGGTCTTGAGCCAGTAATGGCATTTCAGCATTATCATAGCAGGGGCCAGTCACCCCATAGGACGACCATTGTTGACTTTCCATGAAATGGTAATAATATGATTAACCCCGGAGGGATGATCCTAGGCGTCTGCTGCTTACCACGACTTGATGTTTTACACCCTTCTGATTGTAAGTTGAGCGGTACAAGCGTGGCATCATCTGGTCCAATTTTTGGGAATGTTGCAATTAAATTGGGGCTTAAATTTACTCTTTTGCTATTTCTCCATTTGATATAAATATACTGCCACCCTGCTGATGACTCGGATATCAAACCAATCCAGGTTTTGCTTTGTCTAAAGAAATCCTGCTGTAAAACTTTGGTTCAGAAGGCTCATTGGTCATTGAATTTAAGTACTTAATCGATTACATATCTTTACAATGAAACTAATATCTTCCCTGCTATGCTATTACCCACTTAGAGACATTCCATGTTTATTTATGCATAAACACTTGCTTTGATGCCTCATCATTTTAAAGTGAGCCCTTCATATTTATACCAGGTGAACCCAATAGGTTTGAACTATTATCACTAATATGCCACAATGAACCCTCATGAATCATCCATGTTGATTTGTATTCTGTGGTGCATTCCTTTTTAAAAGCGTCAGATTAAAAATTTGTCCAAACATGCACCAGGCATTGCTTGTATTTAAAACACTTTATTATTGCGAGATTGCATCTGCCAACAAGCCTAGTCTTGATGTTTTAGCCTTGGTCCCTTTGACTGTGGGAAATGGTTTGAGGCAATTCTTCTGACATCAAATATGCGCTCAGACTGTCTTGATGTACACCTGGATCGTCTCCTGTCTTGATAAGAAAAGGCTACTCACAAAGGTTGTTCTGAGCTGCTGCTTTGTGTGTTCTGTACTGGCTTTTGACTGGCTTGTGATCGATTCAAATGTACCATGTGATTGTGTGAAACTTAGTTTAACCGGAATATGGGCACAAGAGCACACTGTCTTGGCTTTAAAGGTCCTGGTTTTATGTTTCGGGGTGCAAAAAGAGGTTAAGATTAAAATTTGTGTTCTTCCTAATTTGTATTAATCCACATGTAATGCATTTTTATTTTTTACACATTGGATTCTCACCAAGTGTTGTTTCAATATCAGCATTTTTTAATATATAACTTTATTTTGTTTAACATAGAAAAACACTTCTTAGACAGTTGTACACAACCATGAACCAAATGAAAGTGGATGAAGGTTGTGAAGTATTTTTTTTTATGAAGTTCAATCTAAGCATTACATATTTGTTTTATCAAGAAATACATTTCTGTGAATGTAAGTTCCTGTGAATGTGCATATCCTTGCTTTTCACTGGCTTGAGGCCAATTGCTGTATACCAGCATAAAAACTGCATTCCCCATCTCCCTAGCTGGGAAAGTTTTGCTCCAACTCGCCCTAACTTGATCACTGCTCAGTCCTTAAAATGCACAATACTCATCAGCACTCCATTTCATTAACCAGTTTAAATTGGTATGGGAATAGGTTTTACCCTTTTAACTGGCACAAAAACTGACACCTTTATTCAAGGCATCATGTTTGCAGTGACCACAACACAAGCAGTCAAAATGCAAACAAAAAAGACAACTCTGATAATAATATGCACTGTCCTGGAATTTGATTGGTCCACACCCGAGACAGCTTTTCTTAGAGCCTAGTCTCCATTGGTGTTGGACCAGAAGACGCCAAAAGGCGTACAACTCAAAAACAGCGCACTATCAGAGTATTGAGGGCTCGGGGTGAGCATTAACATTATGAGACCTCCTTTGCCAGAAACAAGATATAGGAATAGGTTTTACCCTTTTTCTGGCACAAAAACTGACACCTTTATTCAAGGCATCATGTTTGCAATGACCACAACACAAGCAGTCAAAATGCAAACAAAAAAGACAACTCAGTTGTGCCAGTTAAAAGGGTAAAACCTATTCCTATATCTTGTTTCTGGCAAAGGAGGTCTCATAATGTTAACAGTTTAAATTGATTTAGCAGTTTTTACATCCAGAAGCTCCGGCTAGATGTGAAACTGGCCTGCGGTGTGCATGTTATTTAGTGTCTTGGTTAAACCATCGCTTTCTTACCATGAAGATGTCCTGAGGGAATGAACCTCGTCGTTTGATAGATAGAAAGAAAAAAAAATTGTGATAGGTAGTGTTCAGTGGCATTGGCTGTAAAGATCTTGCCCTTTGTGATAACCCTGTGCACAGACCTTTTTCTGACTTGTGTATTGACACTTTCAATGTCGTTGGTTGCTCAGGGCTCCTGTGCTCGTGGCCCTTGCCCTCATCGAGAGTGGGATGAAGTATGAGGATGCGGTGCAGTTCATCAGACAGTAAGTATCCTTCCCCACGAAACCCCGCTTACCCCATATCGATGTTCCTATTAATTATTCTCTCATTATCCTGGGCGGGTGGCGCTGTGGCAAACAAAGGACTCGATTCACAATTGGAATGCCCACGAGTTCAAATTCCGGGTCAGGGTTGATTCAGTCCAATCCCGCCTTGGGTCGGTAAATGAGGTAGTCAACAGTGGTCATCCAGTCGTAAGACTGGGCCCCATCATGGGCATGAGGAGTTTCCCTGCCTGCCTCGGCTGCCATTGGATATGAACACCACCCAACGCTCTTATGAATGAGCATGGAGAGACTTTTACTTTTTGTTTTAGGATTTTAGCATCGATTGAATAAAGCGTTACACATTACTTGTGCATAAACAGTCTCCTATTCTATGCAATGCTGAAAGATACAGCTCAAAATAACCAAATAGTCCTTCTAGGTAAATCATTAGACTCTGGTGTTCCAGGCTGTTTGAAGCATAAAACTTTTTTAATCACAGTGCGGTGCTCTGTTACGTATGTGGGTTGAGCTGTCGGTATGATGACGATTCTGAATCGACTGATCTCTTGATTCCACATTACGCCTTCTGTCACTCCCACCTCATGTGATGCTCGGTTATCGCGCTGCAGTCGCATCGTGGTGTAGATGTTGAAATTAAGCGTCGGAGTGACACTGCCGTAACGTCACCCGTGGCATTATTGTGAGCCTGGCCGAAAGTTAAAACCTGGACATAGAGCCTGGGTGTGTTTCTAAAAGATAAATTATATGTATTTGTAGGTTTGTGCCTTTAATGCTGTTGTTCATGGCTATGATCCAAAAGATTAAGTGGCATTTGTCAGCAAGTACAGCCTGCTGGTTTGAATCCTTTTATTTTGTATGTACAGTTGTAATTAATCACCGTGACTGATCGTGATTCTCACATTAAATAATTACTTGTGATGGGGCTGGTACACGTCATTAATTAATCATCTTTTTACTTTTCTGTTAAACCCTAGAAGCCGATGAACTATCGTTCTTTAGACTTGTAAGGATAAGCTTAAAACGAGAGAGTTGCACGTGGGTACATTTTGTACGAGTTGAAGTAAAATGAGAGGATTTGTGTAGGAATTGAAGGGGTTTTTTTTGTAGGTGCACTAGAACAGGAAGTACCTGAATAGATAGGCCATCGAAATCGCACAAAGGACCCGGTCTCCTTGTAATTTAATAAGGGCTGTTTTGATGTTCATTGAACTCATTCATGTTGGTGTAATTTTCTCAGGGGTACATAATGTGCTTTTGGTTACTCCACACCCATGTGAATCAAGATTAATTGCTGTTAAAGGCTTGAACCACCTGTGGCGTTGCGTTGTCTAGTTTGTATGAAGGTCCACAGGAAGTATAACATATCCTTTTTCCCCACAGTAGTAAGCCTTTTACGAGATGTGTTAAATAATAGATGATTGTTTTAACCTGCTCGAGTAGCTCGTTATACATGCTAGTGGCAATTGTTGTTTATGGACTTTTGTCAGTTTCGGAGTAGCGTGAATGCATCGTGTATCTCGTGTGGCGTAATGGTGAAACATTTTGCAGTTGAAAGGGTGTAAGTTAAAATCCTAGTTGGGGTCGAGGGCTATGATTCATCTAGGGTCGATAAAATATGTACCATTATATGGGAAGGAACCAGTACCTGAGAGCATTACCCCCGCTATAGGAATGTGGAATATCCATCACTGGGGCTCAAGGCCACCAATGGAGATGAGCACTACCACCCTACATGTACTGGTTTTGACAAGGAGACACTATAACAAGGCGGCTGTGCAGGAAGGCTTGGGACATCTCTCTTGGGGTCTTGGATGAGTTGCTTTAGTTTGGCTGATTCGGGGTGAATGCCTTTGCGAGGGGTTGGAAGGGGTTACCAGACATGGCATGTGCAACTTGATGTCAATGATTTAATTGCTTATTTACACATTAACTGCTTAGGGGCTCTTAACTGGATGTTTTGCCTTCACTTTAATTTCAAACTAATTTTGGGGGTAGGGCTGTGGTCGCAGACGAGAAACATAAATGTACGTGTATGTAGCCAGTGTCTGTTTATAGCCAGACCTGAAGTTAGTAGTTTCCCCTTCGGGGTGAGACAAATGCTCAGTGTGCGTTTTAATACAATTCCACCTTGGAGTTTCTAAATTCTTTGCCATTTATGTGACAACCTTTTAGCTGTTGGTGGTTGAAGTAGCAGTCGTACCTGTTTTTAATTGCACAATTTGGAAATGTCATAAAAAACTGCTGTGTACTGCATAATTAAGCGTAGGTAAAGGGTATTTCCCATAGGTACAGCACCTTATTGTGCTATTAATATTATGGTTACACAGCCTGAATGTGTCAACGATTTTTGCAACAATACATTAGCTGTACCGAAGTAAAGTATACCAACTGATTCCACTGAACTTAAATTATACATCAATGGGGCTGTTGTGGTTATCGTAAGATATTCTAATCGCTGTTGAGTTTCTCTATTGGTGAGCAGTTCGCAGTTGGTGGATCAAGGTCAGCGAGTCGGTGTATGCGACTTAGGCTTTTTTTATTTTCAGCCAAGCCTGACTAACACCGTTTAATTGAAAATCAAGTTGCGTAAACAATGAACTGCTCTGCTTTAACAGCAGCTAATGTTGGCAATAAAGCACGCTCGGCCTGTAACCCAACTGCTTGAGTGGCAGCGCAGGGACAGCATTGCGTGACTGCCTTCAAATATTCAACATGTCAGCATTAGCTACGCAACAACTGTTGACTCTTCACACTTGATAAAGATGGGTTTCTATCAGCAACATGATGGGCAATGAGTTTATCCCCAAGTGGGATGTGGACTTTCTTAGTACTTTCTGATAGTGAATCGAACTGTATAATTCCACTGTAGGTCGGGGTAGAAAGATAACATGAATTCGTCAATTAATATATTTTTAAGCTAACAATACGTGCATTGCACATGCAACACTGTTTTTGAATTAATGCATACAAGAATAATTTTACATAAGCCATTGCGGCAACTGGAGTTGCTACCATTTGTCACAATTTTAAAGTGAATTGTTTCTTGCAATTAATTGAGTCCCTGAAATCAGACTTAATCTATTTTATAGTGATTAATTCCACCGTTAATATCTGTTAACTAAGGAAAGGCTCACTGAGTCTCACTACTTTTTCTAAGGAGGGTTCCTGTTTTGGGACATTTGGCAATGAAATGAAATCGGTGCCTGAAGATGAGCATCCATGTGAGAGATTACCTGTCCAACGGACCACAGCTCGGTTGACAACTAACAATGCAATGTCGTTGTGCACCTCTGTCTCTTAGGAAACGCCGCGGAGCCATTAACAGCAAGCAGCTGCTCTATCTGGAGAAGTACCGGCCCAAGATGAAACTGCGATTCAAGGAAACAAATGGCCACAAGAACAACTGCTGCATCCAGTAAAAACGAAGCCTCTTAGCCGAGGGACCTGTTTTGGATGAGGAGAAACAAATTCCGTGCATCTTTGCTCAGGGACAGGTTAACTTGGACTGCTCAATGCCGAAGTTTCCAACACACACTCTGGTTGTTATGGAGGCTGAGAATGGGAAGGCGTATTTTCCATCTCGTTCTCCCAGTGGCTTCGCTCGGGGGTTGTTAGTGGTGGCTTAAGCTCACCGTCAAATGGCCTTTTCTTTTTTCTTCCACCCCCAATCGATGTCGGTGGTCCGTTTTACTTGTGGGTTTGCAAGTTGATAATTAAATTCTAACTGAATACCAAACAGTCCTCCGAATGCGATTTAAGCCAATTGCTTGGTATATCCCACGTAATTATTTGCTTAAATGTCTACATAATTAACTTGACATTCAGATTTTGATACCTCATTCCACAGCAAATGAAGCCCTTGCTGTTAACCTGTCCCTTGAGTGCAATTGACCTGATTTGTTTTACACGTAGACTGTCCAGCTGAAGAAATCCTGTTATAAATATTGATTTCGTCGCCATAATTGTATTTGTTTAGATATCACCAATGAATGCGTTTTTCGGTCTCCATAGCGGTGTGCTTGGCCCGTCCGGGATTGTGGCCAATAGCAATTTACGCTCTAAATTATAGGCATGCTGCAGACACTGATGGCTAGTTATGGAGATTCTATAGCCCCGCTCCAAAATGTTCCAGGGTATTTTCAGCTGGGAAATCCAAGGGGAGTTTTCATTTCCACAGTTTATTGCAAACGAAATCAAAGCTGTAGACTTGAAAGCACATTGTTTCAGTAAATTTTTTATTGCCTTAAACCTCCTTTGCTCTTCGCCTGTGAATAAACATAAGCAGATGTGGGGAACGAAATATAACTCCCATGGCTGAGACATGGGGGTCTGTGATTCAAAAATGCACATTTAAAGCTATGCTAACCATTTACTTGCATTAATTTATTTAACGTTACCTTAATTAATCAGAGTGGTTATATATATTGGCTTTTAAATGTGCATCAAAGCAAAAACTATTAGTTAATTTGAGGCTATATGTAGCTTATGCCATCTAGCTTTGATAATACAGTGGTTTCTGCCATTGTAGCTTAAAGCTTTTCTTTATGGCATGCAAGTGTGTGCTGAGAGTCCATTATGGTCTGATTTACGGTTTAAAATGTCAAGCGTGGGTCTTTGTCGATTGCTTGCGTTGCATAAGACCATGTGACTGGTAGAGATAGGAAATGCACACGTCACACGCTCAGAGGGAATGGTGCATTTCTGTCTGCTGAAAGAAAGGTTTTATTTTGGTCGTAGTTCATAGTGCCATTGTTTCGTCTTAGTATGGTTGTGTCAATGATTTTTGCAGTAATGATTTTGGACATGAAACAAACGGCCTTAGATACTAAGCAAAACCTTGGCCACTGCAATCTCTACAATTATAACTATAAACGACAAATATGGCCTCTGTTACTTCAGCCAAGTGTAGAAACTGGTTTATAGCAGTGCGTATGAAGCGGGAATGTTCGATTTAATTTTATGCATGGAACATATGAGTACTGAACAGTTATGAAACTAAGTGCAGAAGATCATATTTAAATACGAACAATATCGGAGAGAATAACATTTTATATGACCATTAATACACAAGGGGATTCATTTTTTTACCGATTTTTAAATTTACAAAATGATGCGAAACATTTTTCTGCTGCGTTGCCAGTGGTGCACAAAGCATCAATAACTAACAATAAAAAGACAACACTTTCGTTCATAGCACTGCCTTTAAGGGGAAAATATATAGCGGGCAATGTTTCAGGCAGTGGGTCTTCTCATATGCTCTGAAGGGCCATTGCCTGAAATGTGACCTATGTTATACATATATCCTCCCGAAACAGTGCTATTGATGAATTTGTTGTAGTGTTATGATGCTAAAGTATATTTTTGGGCAAAAACTACATCTCTGGCAGTTCAAACACTGAAGATGTTTAAACTTTTTTCCCACCACCAAATAACTTATTTTTGGATTATAAGTAATGTTTTTATTTAAGATACCAGCATGATAAATCTAGGCCGCTTAAGTTCAGTTTTAGCCTTTTTGTATGTTGATGCGGGAAACGGATGCAAATGTATTGCTTCCTCTTGTCTGCCGCCTCAACCCATGTAAGAGTACGGACCGGTTATCAGCAAGCGTACAGCTTTAATGTAACTATGCGGCGAAAAAGCCAGCCGTTTGGGGCTGTACCCGGTTCTGATATATTCAGAATTTGGTTTTTGAACTTTTTATTTCCTGTTGTCAACAGCGTTGAAGTGTCAGTCAAACAATAATTGATTTGTGTATACGGATTACTCATTGTCATCAGTCGTGTGCAGGTAATCCCTTATTTGGTATAATTACACATTTGATTGCTTGAATACTTAATGCAACGTATTCATCTAATTAGATCTATTTGACTAAGGAAGCAAAATCACAAAGCCCTAGGCTTTGTTGTATGGTATGTTTACATTTGATGTCAGTCATTGCTTAAAACCAAGCTGCTGACACAATCATTTCCTCGATATTGAATTTTAAGCCCTTTTTCAAATGCTTTACAATGAAAGCAATCAAGAGTAAGTAATCCACTGGTGCATGTTGAGCGAATTATTTGCACCGCTGAAAATTGAGTGATAGGGGATTACCCGCTTGGGTTCGGGTTAACACGAAGCCGACGCCTTTATTAATCTAAGTACAGTAACATTTACTTGTGAGTGACCCTTCAACACTGGCTGTCAACAGATTGTACTTTTGTTTGTGGCCACTTAGCATGCGTTTAAGAAATGTCTATCGCTGAACACACGAGGTACTTGCCCCCATTTTTAATAAACAACAGTTGCTGTGATCACGATGCCGTGAGCACTCTTGTGCAAGTTGAAACCTGGATATGGTACTGCAGACCAATTTCAGCAACCCCCACAGACAATCGTCTTGAGGTGGCAAAGCCTTATTAATTAATGTTACTGCGCTGTGAGGTAGCGTTTTGAGTACCGTAGCAGTAATACAGTGGGTAGGTGTGGTTCCGTTTTTTCGTCATTGTGTATTCCTAAGCAAAAAGGGTTGTTTAATGTCTGAAATGGTTGTGCACCTGAATTTAATAAGGGGATCATGGTTTAAAGTAACTTAGTGTATGCCTGCTTTATAACAAATTGTTTTGTAACTAGACTATTACTTTGACGTTTTGATGCAACAGTGTTTCTGTATTTTATTACGTATTTTTGGTAATAAGTAAATAATACAAGTGTACCTTCTTTGTCATTGCAGGTAAAAAAAAATATTTTGTACAAGAACTTAATAACTTTTAGGCAGTGCTTTTCTAATCAGCCAAACTTTTTTTGCCGACAGACCTGCAGCCTTACACTGTTTAGAAACCAAAATGTTTTTGAGTGAAAATGAACTGGGAAAGGTTTTGAGCGGCACATACGTCCAGTTCCGTCTACATTCGAACGACATTGTTTAGTGCAACTCTGGTCTGTGTCCTTAAAGTTGTCGGCTTTTCCCATTTAAGAACAATGTGAGTGGCAACTGCGCTATCTGAATAAGTGTCAGAATTCATCTGTAACAGGTAAACAAGCCTGTGAAATACAATAAATGTTTTAAATATCAATTCACAAAGATGTGCATGTGCTTAAAAACTTTCAAGAAATTATATTAATATACATCTCAACTAGTTTTTGTTGTGGTAACGTATTGTGTTATGGTTATTAGTCCAAGTTGCTGATCTGCTGTCATCTGCATTGTCCTTTCACATTTAATGTTGGCACTTTGCGTGTATGCAAGTGCAAAGTACATTTTTGTTGAGCGAAAGGTCACAAGAGTGCAGTTTTAGCACAGGCATGCCAGGGTCATGTTCGCATGTGCTACCTTGAACTATGCTGCCACATTCTTTTAGTGTCCAGTCTATTCCAGAGTATGGATGCATGCGGGTTTGGTTGTTCAGAGCCCCTGACTTGCATTGCATCCAATAGCTACTATGCTTGCTTTGTTTTAAATCACATTCTGGGGTTAATGCCACTGAAAGAATGTGGTCATACGATGTTCCACTTGTTCTGCTACTGTCAGGAAACATGGAGAATATAAATTTATTTTGTGGTTATGCATATTTAGTATGGTGTGTGAATATACGCCATATGTAAACATGCCGGTTCACGTAGAATTATATTTTTTTGCAACTGGGTATCATTTGTTGTTAATATCCCAGTTCATTTTCCGTTTCCCCGGGATCCAAATGCATTAATAATAGCTGTTCCGTTTCATTTCTGACCAGTTTGTAAATTACAAGAACACGTTCAACTGCCACAAGTGGTGGGTATTTTGGTCTTTTTTTTAAGGAAGTGCTTTTGCTTGCCACAACAATTACAAATAATTGTGTATCCATTTAGTTAAAAAAACAAAACTTAATTAGTGCATATAAAATAAATTGTGACATGTACTGTAATTTTAGGAAAGATTTACACATTGAAGCCAATCTTTAAATAACTCAATTAAAATTGATATAATGTCCTGTAACAGAATCGTGGAAGAATTTGTAAAGCAAATATTGCATCTGGAAAATAAACAATGAAAACATTGAACTTTTTTTGCTTTGCTGTTTTGAAGTGTTCCTGTTATGGTGAAAAGCTAATTTTGAGTATTAAATTGCTGTTGGGGTCATTGGAGAAATATATTTTCCTTAAGCAGCACTTGAACTATATTGTATGTATGTTTAACTTCTTTCGCACCGTACGTAGCCAACCGTGCTAATCGGAGGTCCAGGGGAAGGACAACAAACTAAAAAAAGTAGTTCTAAAGAAATGCGCATTCCTGCAGCAAAATATTTTTTTAATGAAATTAGCTTATTGGGATTGCTTTATTCCCGTGGTCAAGTAATACAACAGGTTCCACATCACAAGCGAAATGCTGTTATGATTCTTGTCGCATTGGATGTCTTGCATCCACTGTATTCTTAAAAGGTCAAAGTACATGCCACATCAGAGTTGCATTTGGCATTGTGCAATATCTTAATGCAGTACTTTAACTCTACAAACGTATTTGGGAATTACAAAAATAGCCACGAGCAATTTAAATGACTAGCCGTTACTATACTTAGGTTGCTGTCATCTGTACATTTCAACACATGACACGGGGGTTAAATAATATTACCGATATAGTTAACACGAGGCTGCAGTGGGACAGGTGCGCGACCATTTAAAGGTAGTTTACATCGGATATGCAGACCACATGTTTATGAGTAATTTGGTGATGAGTTCAGCCAACTGCTTTAATTCGATGGTTGCCATTAGTGGTGTTTTCAGTGTGGTGCTCTTGTTGTTTAGCCAGCCATGTAACTTCAGGCGGGCATTGAGTGCCTGCCAGCCAGGACAAACGATCTTGGCTTATCGTACAAAGTGGACAAGCAGACGTCCATTGTCCCAGATGGTTGATTCAGAGTCGTGTTTCCATATGCATTACGTCAAGACAGGCGGTAACTTGTGTGATATTGCTGGATTCCATTGGGGTTCTGGAAATAACTTTTTGGCTTTAGACACATGGTAGGATATTGGGTGGGTACCCAAGAGGGTGTCTGCCGTGTTCCATGTGCACAATTCAGCTGCACAACAGACATACATTGGTTTAGCGGTTATACGTGGGGGGCTATATATTTGATGTTCCATATTTAATATTCATTGTGGAGTCCGCAGCCCAAAACAATGTAACTCTGTGGCTCAAAATACGGTCCAGTAAAATATTTATCGCGGTGGAATTGCGACACGGTGGGGGTTAGCTGTGAACCCGGCAGCTTGAGTTTGATTCCCGGTCACGATTTATTTCAGTGGCGGTTGACATCAGAATCAGTGACGTCATCACACCAAGCTGCCCAGCGTGGTGAATGGTCAACCAACCTCCACAACCAACACAGTATGGCGAGGCTTCCTCGAGCAATGGATTAACAGGAATGAAAACAATGCGTTATTTATAATGTACAGTATATGGGTTGTCCATTGAAATGCTATTTACTGAGTGAAACCAATTATGTTAAAGACGTTCAAACAATTCAGACATGACTACTGTATTTGTATACATTTATCGTGGCGTATAGTGATATGCCATTTTTCCTCAACATGCTTTTTTAACTGCAGCTACATCAACCTTTGAAATGTGAGCATGTGAGCTGGATTGACGTTACAACTGAAAAGGACACCACAATAATTATTGATTTTTTTGGATGAAAGCCACGTAATTACCGAACCAAATATGTGTCGTTAATTTCAACTTGGAACGCACCACAATATATGCTCATTCTTGAAGAGAGAACGACTCAGAGCTGCGAGGAACTACTGATTCGTCGGGAAAGGCAAGTCGGCGGTGAGCCAGTGCCAAATTTCCCCACCCCAAGCTCTGCGATCCTCTATTTAGGTGACGAGATGTTAACTATCTCGCCTTGTATACAGGAAGTCGTGGGTTCGATCCCAACCCTGACACCTGTTTATTTGTAGTTTGCATGCTCTCCCCATGGTCGCATGGATTTGTCTGGAGGTCCTCCGGTTTTTCCATTTTACGTGTAGAAACGTGCATTTTGAGTTTTTGGCTGTTTACATTTCCACGTCATAAGCCACTTCGTTGAGCTCTCATTTGTGGCCAGGCCGCTTCTGAAAATAGCTAGATAGCTAAGTGGACCTTACCTGGTGAATAAAAAATGTGTTGTCAACCAATTAATACGTGTTTATACACATGAGAGGACGATAGTGCACCCAGAGAAAACCCACACAGATGGAATAGAAGAGGTGCCGCATTTGCAAAATACCACGTTATCCAGGCAAGCCAGAGCATTGGTATCTCAACGTCCACGGAAAGGGAGTTTTACAACTCTCGTCTCCACCATGGTGGACTCCAGGCGTACTGAGCTTCAATTGCCCAGCCGCGACTCTCACCAACACCCAACAGTTTCAGTTTTTCAGTTTATTTATTTTTGGTATAGCCCTGTGAGCCATTCGGCTCTTGAATCGGGTGCAACCACAACAAACAAAAAAACAAACAAAAACACGAACAAGAAAACATCTTAAACAGTTGTCGCCAGCATCGTGAACAGAGCCAACCAAGTGAAATCGTCACGTGTACAAGCGTTTTATGCGCCAACCATGATTGTGTTTCACCTCACCGCTATGTTGGATAAAAACAATTATGACAGCTACATTTAGCGATTGGATATGCGACAATTCAACTCGAGCTCCGTCAAGCGTCGTCAGGACAAGATCCAGAAAGTCGGCAAAATAAATCCAGTCGGAATCATCTTGGCTGTGAAAATCCTACGTGTTGAGCACACCAACATCTGTGACAGATTTGTTTGAGTAAGTTTATTGAGTGGGGGTTTACAATTCGATGTCGCATCAGCTTCCGGTTAAAGTAAAATGGCAATGTCTCCCTGCTCAAAATCAGAATATTTATACTGGCAGAATCCGATGAGCGACAAAGTTATTTTTCACATGTGTGCAGATTCTCACGTGTGCATCGAGCCGTGTTCGTTGACTTTGCTGGGACAATTACGAGCAGCAGCATTTGACATTTAAAAAGCGCTGTGCACGAGCAATCCCCTCGTGAAGCACTGCTTTTTTTTTCCCCAGGTAGACTGGTTTCTTCCAACAATCGACAAATGAACCTTATGGCGGGACCCCGGGGTCCCATCCGGGGCCATCCATTTAGTGCGTACGCATGGAGGGGGGTAGGGGGGTTTAACCCAAATGTGTACGCTTGCGTATGGGTGGTCTACTTACAATGTGCGTACGGCATAGGAAACGGGGGGGGGGGGGGCGGAGGTGAAGCCTCGATAATAATTATTTGTCTACATTGGCCTTCAAATGAGTTAGATAGTCCGGCGACGGACTATCTGTTTGCATAGACACGTGAATATTATTCATCCTTGATCGTTTCTGTAAGATTCAGGACGCAGGTGGGTGGGTGTGTGTAAAAAGTACGCGTGCGTCCAAGGAGGGGTCAAGTTTTGACATTTTTTTTGCGTACGTACTCAATGGATGGCCCCTAAGCCCCCGGGCTCTCGCATAAACTGCGTTGCGACGTCATCTAATGTCTGTTGAAGGCGAACGATACGGCAATCTGTTCTTCTCGACGAGCTCTACACGATGCGCTAAGTTTTGTTTGTGACTACGGCAATTTTGGCAACGGCGGGTGGGTCGCGGCGTTGATGTGCGCGGTGGGACGGAGTCGACAAAAAATCAACTAATTCATAACGTCATAATAGGGGTTTTCCCCTTTTTTCTGGCAACAAAACTGAAACCTTATTACAAGGATTCATGTCTGCATTAACCACAATACCTGCAGTCAAAATGCAAACAAAAACATACGATGATAATATATGATGCATTGTCCTTGAAATTGATTGGTCCACACCAAGGGACGGCTTTCTTTTTTAATGCCCTGGCTGAGGGAAGGAGGTTCTCACCCAAGATTTGACGCTACATGGCCCCGTCCATCGTCCCTTTGATGCGGTGAAGTTGTCCTGTCCCTTTAGCAGAAAAACACCCCAAAAGCATAATGTTTCCACCTCCATGTTTGACGGTGGGGATGGTGTTCAAGGGGTCATAGGCAGCATTCCTCCTCCTCCTCCAAACACGGCGAGTTGAGTTGATGCCAAAGAGCTCCATTTTGGTCTCATCTGACCATAACACTTTCACCCAGTTGTCCTCTGAATCATTCAGATGTTCATTGGCAAACTTCAGACGGGCATGTATATGCACTTTCTTGAGCAGGGGGACCTTGCGGGCACTGCAGGATTTCAGTCCTTCACGGCGTAGTGTGTTACCAATTGTTTTCTTGGTGACTATGGTCCCAGCTGCCTTGAGATCATTGACAAGATCCTCCCGTGTAGTTCTGGGCTGATTCCTCACGGTTCTCATGATCATTGCAACTCCATGAGGTGGGATCTTGCATGGAGCCCCAGGCCGAGGGAGATTGACAGTTCTTTTGTGTTTCTTCCATTTGCGAATAATCGCACCAACTGTTGTCACTTTCTCACCAAGCTGCTTAGCAATGGTCTTGTAGCCCATTCCAGCCTTGTGTAGGTCTACAATCTTGTCCCTGGCATCCTTGGAGAGCTCTTTGGTCTTGGCCATGGTGGAGAGTTTGGAATCTGATTGATTGATTGCTTCTGTGGACAGGTGTCTTTTATACAGGTAACGAGCTGAGATTAGGAGCACACTCTTAAAGGGAGCGAGAAATCTTTGTGATTGAGAGGGGGTCAAATACTTATTTTCCTCATTAAAATGCAAATCAATTTATAACATTTTTGACGTGCGTTTTTCCGGATTTTTTTGTTGTTATTCTGTCTCTCGCTATTCAAATAAACCTAACATTAAAATTATAGACTGATCATTCCTTTGTCAGTGAGCAAACGACGTACACAATCAGCAGGGGATCAAATACTTTTTTCCCTCACTGTTTGACGTCACAAAGCTCTGCCCCCCCCCCCAAAAAAAATAAAACATGCTTCAAATCGCTTTAAGCTATCGTCATTGTAGTGCGTATTTAATGTGGCGCTGCACTCTGATGTTGTAGGAGAAGGCATTTAGTATAAAAGTAT